CCTTTCCACACCGTTGGAGATGAAGCTGGGCCTTGAGTCTGCACCTGCATATTCCTACGACTTCCCAGAGTCCTGTGGACAATGACTGGGGAGATAAACCATGCAGGAAACAGCCTTTTACAGACGTCTCAGTATTGATCTTAATTCATCTCCAGTTTACTTATTGATAGATTAATATCTTGTTTTACAGAATTTCCTAACAATTCCAGTAACTCCTGAGGTAAGTAGATGTGGTCTGAATTTTGTGGCTTATTATCAACAATTTCTACAATAGAACTACCGTCTTTCTGCTAAACTAAGACCTACCTAAAAAATAAGCCCTAGCAGGATTTCTATGCATTTGTTAAATATAAGCCCTTCCCTGATCATAAGACCTAGTGATGGGCATGGCTATGCAGCGTATCTGCAAAGCCATGCCATGCATTTGTACACAGAGCGGTAAGGAAGACTGGAATACCCTTTATCTGCCACAGCTCCTTTCTCCAAGCCGTGGGCATGTACAAACCGCTAGGGGAAAGGTGTTCACGCATCGGTATAGTACCAGCCTCACTTCTGTCAAGTGCCAGAAGAAGATGACTTAACTATGTTTGAATAAATGTAGATTGTTGTATGTTATACTTAATAAAATAAGACATCCCCTGAAAATAAGCCCTCGTGTGTCTTGAGAAAAAATAAATATAAGACAGAGTCTTATTTGGGGAATCATGGTAGGAGTGAGCTGACCCCTGTTTTGGTCAAGAACTACTTCTAAGACATTTAGTCATTCTGAGCTCAGAACTCTTGCAACAAGATATATGCAAACATAATCAGACATTGAATATGTTTTATGGGATGATGTTTAGAAATACTACATTGATAACTAAAGTTTGTTACTAATCAGAGGTGTTCCAACGTGGATACCCTGGGAGGTCACTCTACCCAGGCTCTGTCCAAGTGGCGTAGGGGAGCATAGGGCTCTGCCCCGTGATGTATAGTCCCTTTCCACACCGTTGGAGATGAAGCTGGGCCTTGAGTCTGCACCTGCATATTCCTACGACTTCCCAGAGTCCTGTGGACAATGACTGGGGAGACAAACCATGCAGGAAACATGTACTGCACTAAACTTTCAGGTTAAAGGATGATCTTTGAGAAGCTAATCATTATTTCTTTCCCTTTAGGAAAGAACTGTACAGGGTGTCCGTAAAGTTCTTCTGCAATTTGAAATAGTTTGACTTTGTAAGTATATATGATAGAATTTGTAAAAAGGGTTAGAGGGCTTGATGTGTCTTATTTTTGTGTGTGTGTCTTTAGAAATTTTATTTTTTGAAATGTAATTTAAAAATTAATTACTTTTCAGAATCACTGACCTATGGCTTCACTAGAAGAGAAAGAAAGTTTTGTTCTTTGGTTGATTCAACTAAAGTCTGCCACTGCTGTCCAAAGAAGGTTTAGAACCCATTACAAGAAGGAAGCACCACACAGGAATTCCACATCAAAGTGGATGGAAAAATTGAAAGAAACGGGCTCTGTCTATGATAAGCCATGGTCTGGGAGGCCACATGTTAGTGAAGGAACTGTAGCATCTGTAGAAGAAACCTTTCAGGCAAGTCCAAGAATGTCATTAAGACAGGTATCCTTAGAGCTGAGGTTTCCAAAGTCTGCTGTACAGAAGATTCTGCGGACAAGACTTCACATAAAAGCATACATAGAAAATTCAAGTGCATCAAATGTTAGGAAAGGATTATCATGACTAATGAGTAATGTTGATGTAATGTTGAGTAATGTTCTCTGATGAAGGAACATTCCACATTCGTGGCAAAGTCAACAGGCATAATCGTCATCTATGGGGAACTGAAAATCCACGAGTCTGTTGAACATAAAAGATTCTCCCAAAGTTAATGGGTTGTGTGCTTTGGGCAAAAATCAGTCATGGGGCCCTTCTTTTATGGCCGGGGCTGGGTTTGAACCCACCACCTGTGGCATATAGGGTTAGCACGCTACTCTTTTGAGCCATAGGCACCGCCCAGGGCCCTTCTTTTTTGAAGGGGGTGTTCATGGTGATAGCTGTTTAGAAATGCTGCAAAATTATTTATTCCTCAACTTGAAGAATTAGGACTGATAGAGAATACAGTGTTTCAACAAGATGATGATGCTTGTTGTGTTGCTTTGTGTGTTAGACAGTTTTTACATGAGAAATTCTCTAACAGATGGATTGCAAAAGGTGGACCATTTTCCTGGCCTCCACATTCACCAGATTGAACTCCATTGGGTTTCTTTTTATGGGGACATGTGAAAGCTAATGTTCATTCAACCAAATCTCAATCTTCAGAAGACTTGAAAGCTAGTATAACAGATGTGATTGCTGGTATTACTGAAAATCAGCTTGAAAATGTTTTCCAAGGCTCAGGGCCTGTGGCTCAAGTGGCTAAGGCGCCAGCCACATACACCTAAGGTGGCAGGTTCAAATC